TCAGGTTCTCCTTAATAAAAGGCTCTGCCGAAGGTGAAGTTGCGCAAACCTTGATGCGCACCCATCTAGAGCATGAAGCCTTGAATAGCTCTCAAGCCTGGTTCGCTCGCGTGCCTACTGAAGCCAACATAAGCGACTTCCCTTCCAGAGGCGAAGCACACCCTATGCTCGAACCTGAATTGTCCGAGAGCTTGCCAGTCAAGGACTTGTTCGATAGCATTATGCAGTGTTTGCGTGATCTTGGGTGCCAGCATTCGACGAAGGGGGACAAACCATGCATTGCGCCCCAATATCTCGAAAGAGAAAAAAGGAGCGCTGATTTCTTGCTTTGTGAAATCAAACGTTGAATTGACAATGAAGCTCACCGAGTTGTCACTTCTGTTTTTAGGGTGGAGGCACCCGGATTTCACACGCGTCTTTGCTTCTGCGCTGGTTCAAGTGGTGGGCGGGTGGGCGCGCCGTTTCGTTTGCCCAGAAGCGCCCACCCACCAACACCTTGAAGAGTACTCGCTTTTGTGCATCGACGCTCTTCAGCTCGAAAGCAGTGCGTTCCAAGCCGCACGCCCCAAGCAAGCAGTTCGTCACAAGACCAAGTTTCACAGAGCCAGACCCAGTGGCCTACAGGCCATGCATTGCACCCCAATATCTCGAAAGAGAGAAAAGGCATCTACGTTTTGCGTCGTGTTTTTTTGTCGTTAGAAGGAAAAAAGCGTTCTTCAAAACCCACAGGCTCCAATGTATGCACTATATGGGTACACTTAGCTTCATATCAGTTATTTTGAACATTGGCTCTTAACAAGCCTAGCCTATGTAGCTAAAAATCAATTACAATCACAAGCCACAAAAACTCATATTGGACTCATTAATTTCGAGACCCTTCGAGGCCTTTCGAGACTGCCCCCCCCGAGAGTTTGAGAAACATTACCTGCGGGGTCAATATATTACAAAGCATCCTACTGCGCCTTGACTGCTCTCCCGCACCAAGCTCTCCACAACCATCCAGTGAAACGACTAAGTTTACCCCACATATTGATTCCTTCGTGGTAGGCTATCGTACGAAAGCCTTGGCCTGGACATTGCAACATGTTTGTCCCTTTGAGCATTCTGCGAGTGTAATGATGATTAATGATGTATATATATATATAATATATATACATATATGTGTGATCCCGCTTTCAGCATGGATTTAAGTGATGTGTACTTTAGGCAAACTAGTAGGTCCGATAAAGACAATTTATAACACATACGTGTAAAATTGAATCTTGAATTATCTAAGTTTGTCTTTGGACAATAATTTGATCAGGAGCTGTTACCTCTGTCAACTTGACCAAACTTTGGCGGGCTTGCCTGATATATCTTGATAGTCAGTGCATGTTTGCAGGCAAAAAATGTGTTCTTCGAGGTTTGTAGGCATAAGGCATTTTTAGGTAATTCTGTTATTCTTGAAGGACTGTGGCAGGCATTTTGGCTGAAGCTGTGCTGGGTCGAGAAAAAACCTGTGGGAGCAACCTGCATAGGGGGTCTATTTTCCACTATATATGTGAGGCATGTGTAGGAAAATTCTTTAAAAAGGGCACACTTTTCACTGCCGCAGGACAGCTGCTAGTAGTCCAAATGGGTGCACAAAATAACTCGCAGGATGATACTGATAAGCAAGGATGCTGAGTTGCAATAGAGCAACCAACAGGGGGTGAAATTCACATGTTCGCCATTGTCGTTGTAAAGATATGAATGTGCCACTGAATGAATCACAATGATGCAGAATTGTTTTTGGTTCGATCTTAAGATCGAACCATACCCAGCAACGAGCAAATATTGTGAGAAACTGCATGGCTACCCTACCAAAAATGCCGCCCGAAAGCCAATGTTTGTCCCGGTGAGGGCCCCCCAAAAGCCCTATTCAAATTCCCATGTGGAGCCCAGCCCTGTGGTCATACCGAAATCCAGAAGACTGGTAAAGCAATAGGCAGCAACAAATTAGTTGAGTGTGCAGTAATAGGCAACAAGGTTTTCTTTATACGATTGTGTTGATGTTTTGTGTGCTTTTGTTGTTTGGTTTGATCTCTGACATTTGTATGTTTATGTTTTATTATTCTTACCTTTTTCCTGACATAGATATGGAGAGAGAGAGAGAGAGTGAGAGAGATCATATTACTGTGTTCTATGTAATCACATAATATTGCATGTTTTATTTTACACACTAAGTGCAGTTCACTTTTGCAAATGCACTTAGGGTGCTAAGTTTCGGAAGAATGACGGCAGGAGCTGTATTGCACAAATGCGAGGCATCGGTCCTTCAATTATTTTCCAACCCGGATTCCCATCGCATCTCGTGTAATGCCACAGGGATGGACGTTTTAAGTATATATAAAGGCTTGGACACGGACGAACCCTTGCTAGTATGTTCTAGCTCCGCTTCGTATTTACGTCTATATTTTGACACTGCATGGCTGTGATGCTTGAGCAATTGGAAATAATCCTTACCTTTGACTGTTGCGAAATTGCTGCATGGGGGAGAGTCAGCCAAAGAAATGACAAAAAGATGCCCTCAAGGCAAACCATGCAGATAATTTTGCAGAGTCACGCGAAGTCACACAGATGTCACGCGGAGTCACGCAGATGTCACGCGAAATTCCGTGAATGTATTCAAATTTTGGGTACATTCACAGAAATGTACTTAAAATTTGGATACATTCACAAAACTTGTCACGCCAAAGTCACGCAAGGTCACGCGGAGTTTCCCACATGTTCCACATCAAAAACGTTTGTAACTATTCAGGGCCTGGTGAAACTGAAACTCTCCAACATCGAACGGATGACCAGAACCGAGTCGACGGCGGCGTCACCAAAGAATCTGAAAGCCTTGAGCTAGAACAACTACTGTATAGGTATACCATAGGTATGACCCTCCAGGACTCTCCATGATTCCCACTGTTAAGCATACTCGGGTGCTTTTTGCAAAAGGCACATACGCGGAGAAAGAAAAGTGATGCAAACGCTGCGGTACATTGATGATCCCAAGCTACAGTCTGTGTTAAAGTGTTCAAAAAGGTTTTGGACTCTCTACTGGCTCTACCAATGTTGTTCTTTTCAATGGACGTCGCTGAATGGCTAATTGGCACATTGTATGCAATGTTTGAAGCTTGCACAGAGCGACAGAGCGGCATCAAGATGATTTGGTAGTGCCTATAGGTAACCCTGTATCCTGTTCCCCTTAATTAGGCCATTTTGTCTTCCTGGTGCATTGCATTAGGAACTCGCTTGTCTGCGAAAATTCCACCATGCTCTCCTCCTGAAATAATGCACTTCGCCCTTGCAATGCTGGGAATGTGAAAATATAGTGTAGCTTTACTTACTGCGCATCAGGCAGTGATATGGCACACCAACAGCATACCAAGAAACATATGGTCTTTATTATGATTGTGTGCGTTCACCATGGTCAATTTGGCTAGACCTCGTCGTCGCTGAATTGCGCCGCAGGACATGACATTTTGTTGAATTTCTCTGTGACGAATGAAATCTGATTCAAAAAAACAACAATTCTGATCCACACGCAACTTTTGACATTGATTTTGTTGAGACGCGGGCAAGACCTAGGCTTCTCGGCTGGGGGAGTGCCTGCGACTCTTCCGAGTGCTTTGCAACATTTGTGACACTGCACATAAACAATAATATAAATATTGTTGTTTGAGAAGATCAAGGCAGCTAGCTCCTAGCGTCAAGCAGGCGCTGAGAACGCGCTGACTGCTTGGCTCAGAGAACTCTAACTCATGTGGCTGTAGTGGACCTGTTTCACCTCAACACCTACCACTTCCGGTGAATTGTACAGTAACGGCTATCTCTTTTTGGAGTGTGTGTGGACCAACCACGCACAGGCAGCTTGGATCTGTTACGAACTCAACATAATATACAATAATTCTAATTTGTCTTCGAAAAGACCGATCTTCACTACAGCAGCACTATTTTGCCAGCGACTCCAAGATAAGAGCAACACACCCCAAATGGGTTGTGGTTTGTGAAGGTAGCTACATCTCCGTCTTTTAAGATGTGCACATCTTCGTCAATTCCTAGAATGTTTGCTGATAAGTGACTTTGTGCTGAGATGGACTTGGCCATTCTATGAACAATGATGCTCCAGTAGATGAATCACAAAGGTGTTTATTGTTGAACATTGAACCATGCCCAGGAACAGGCAAATATTGTGAGAAGATGCAAGGCTACCCTGCCAAAAGATGCCGCCTGAAAAGCCAATGTTTGAAATCCAGAAGAGTGGTAAAGCAACAAACAACAGCAAATAGATGGCAAAAGTTACATGTCAACACAAATAGGGAAATGATGGGAAATGACCTTATCCAAACAGGATATGACTGGGCTAACATGCACATATAGTTCTGGGACGCACTATGCAAAGATTGTTGCATAGGTTTCAATCATGTGCTTCAATGTCCAAAGAGTCCGTTTCAAAAGTAATTCGGCTGAAATTGTGTTATTCCATGAATCGAACTAGGACCGCTGAGCAAATCATGGGGTACACGACCGAAAATTCATAGTTCCGACAAGACTTGTTAAATCCGTGATATGTTTTTGATGATTCCCATGAGTATCGTGACACGTCGTGACATATCGTAACATATCGTGGCATGTTCTGACATGTCAAGACATTTCGAGACATTTCGCGACATTTCGAGAAACCTGGTTTGCAACGTACTCAAATTTTGATGACATTGGCTCCGTAGTCAAAATTTGATGACATTTGAATGTATGCATATATTGCTGACATGGAGCCCCTGGGAAAGTGAGATAGAGGTGAATTCTCAAAGCAATATGCTAAATGTGAATCGATACTATAGATCAGATACTTGAAATTCATTTGGACTTGTATAGATTTGTATTGGACATCGCACACTTATCCACGTGATTGAAAAAAACTGTATATACACCACGAGAGTCAGAATCTTCACACGTCACCTGTCGAGTTGCACCGTCGTTCGGTACTTCTGAGGCCCAAGAGTCTGTCAATGCCCAGACTTGCTGGACGCGTGCCTAGCGCCCGAACTCGTCACCGCCATGGCCATGCGCACAGCCTCCAGTATGCGAAGCGCGCTTCATCCGCGGCAAAGCCGCGGCTATGAGCCATATGTCACACGGTCAAGTACAGGTCCAAGGGCAGCAGAGGTGGCAGGTGCTGATGCTGCAGCTACAAGCCTTTTTACTTGTGGCTCCTTGAATGATTGGCTGCGGCCAGAAGCAGCGCCCTTTCAAGGATTGCATCTGAAACGGTGCATCACGTGGCCAAACTATCAAGTGGAGATTGACCGTTGCCAGAGGGATTTCGGGGTCGAGGCTCAAATCGAACGGACCGTTTTCTCCAAGCAGGTCGGCTGGACAGACATTCCGTCGCTCGACACGAGCTGAGACGTGGCGGAGGGTTGAAAAACACCCACCCAGCCTAGGCAGAAAGAAGGGTGGTGAAGATCTCTCAAGAGACTTATCAGTTGTCAATTCTGAATATCAGTGACTGATCAGCTACATCAGTGTTCCTTTCGACGCCTCCTCCAAAAAGCGGTCAAACGCTTACGGTGATGACCGGGGTACTCCAACCGCTGGCGCGGCCGTTTTTCCTCACGAGGCGAGCGGCGGATGAGATTTTGCGCGGCGTCACCTTGCCAGAGGACGCACGTTCTGCACGTTCGGACAAGACGCGTCGACACGAAGGTCGACCAGACATCAACTGATGTCGAAGGTCGACCAGTGAACACTGCGTTTGCCTGAAGTAGCTGGTGAACTTGTGAACCCCAGTCCCCCAGTTGAAAAACCCTCCCCTGGCCTGATCAAGCAAGTCTACGGGAATAAGTCTACGGGATCTAACTGGTGTTTTTCACCCTAGACCCCCCTCTGAAAAATAATCCCCTGGGCTGATCGATCAAGTCCACCAGATTGAAGTGTCTGATTAACACAGGCCTGGTGTTGATTGGAACATGTTGGGTGGTAAGGACCTTTTGTCCACCATAAGGGCCGATATGTGTGAGCTTGGCATCACAGTGGCATCGTTATGCCCTTGGAGCAAGAGCATCATTGTGAGACTTGGCTATGCGCCGTCCGGGGTGAAAAAGGGCACTTGAACCCAAGTCTTCCTTCAAAAATGTGAAAATCGGGCACTTTGGACATTGGCTGGAAAAGACACAGTGAGATAACTCAATTCTGTTCCTGTTGGTCACACTTTGCAAGATTTTCTGCTCGTTTTGCTTTCGTTTGGATTTTCCAGCCACCTCAATTAATTCTCTCTCTCTCTATATATATATATTACAAAAGAGAACATGTGGTGCTGAAGTGCAGATATGTTAGCTTGTATGTGCTGAAGAAAAGCACACACAGTGGCACGGTTGGGACACCAAGCGCGCACAGCTGGCTTTGGGTGGCCGTCGAAGCTTGAAGGAAATTGGAACTCATGGGGGAACACTCGTGCCCTCGCTGGCATCGAGATAACTACTGTGGCAGGGGCATTGTGACCTACAATTTGGCTGGCACTGAATATGCAACTGATGCTGCTGGACCAGCATTCAAGCTCGTCTGCATCTTTTTCTTCACTTAGAGAATTGTCTTTATCAAGAGAAGAAGACTGAAGAATTCCGAAATACCGTCATCAGAAATTCTTAAGTGATGATCAATGAATCACTGGACACTTTTGCGAGAGGATGCAGAAGCGTGTTTCCACCACTTGACACAAAACACCCCTGGTGTTTTCCCTCACTCAGGACATTGTGGACTTTTGGGAATTGGAGAATTGCGGCCTCTCGGCGGCCGGCGCTTTGCGTGTTGGCGCATTCGCCGTGCATGTCCCTGACATGAAACGCCGTTTCGCGGCTCCCTCGCGGCTTCTCCCGGGCGTTTCGCGGCTCCCTCGCGGCTCCCTCGCGTTGTCTGAGGCAACAACGACCACATCATTCGGGACGTGTCCAAAGTTCGACAGGTCAATGTCGGCGACATGCTCTTCATTAAGGGCAATCAGTTTCCCGGTGGCTCCGGGGGGGCTGGTTCACAAGTCACCCCCAGTTCAATACTCTGATATTGGCGTGGTGCTGAATCGCTTGGTGCTCAAGATCGATGTGCCGTGAATGCCGATTTTAACATTCGCCTGGGAGTCAAAGACTATAATAAGAATGGTCTTTAGGGGAACTGATTTCGGGAACTTCCTTTACTTCAGCCGGTCAAAATATAGTCTTTGGACTTCTAGGGATTCTTTTTTTTCCAGCCTCAAATCTGGAGAATTGGTACAGGACAGCAGTCGAAAGGTCGACTGTGAGCGAACTGCTAGCTAGCTGCTACGGCGACTGCCCGACACTTGCAGCTTCCCCGTAGTGCCGCCAAGTCCTGGGCCCGACACTTGCAGCTTTCCTTCTGACTTGTTTTGATATTTTTTATGTCAACCATCTCTGCATCAAAATCTCTTCTTGAGTAACTGCAAGTCAAAGAGTGGGCTTTCATTTAGGGGTGGTTTCCGTACCTGTACAGGGGTGCGTGCCTGTGCGCGCACCTGATGTGTGAGTGCATGATTCCTCACATTGTGATAAGGAAAAGCTACAAAGCAAAAGTGTTTTGAAGACCTTGAGTCATTCCCTCTTGAATGTTCACCTTGAAGCTCCAGTTCAAACACGTAGGGAAGGAAACCGAACTCTGAACTACCTCTCACTTTAGCTGGATCTTCAATTAGAACATATTCATCCACCATCTTCCAGTTGAGTATTGGGTGAACTTATGTGTTTAGGTGGCTGATGCGACATTTCCGCTTTGCTGGACACCGACTTTTGCTCCGCTTCGCCGGGCTCCTTTCCGCCGCGTCTTTCGGCCTCTGGCTCCAGCCGCGCCGACCGCCTCGGGGCTCCGCGGGAGGCGCGGCCGAGGCCGAGGCCGAGCGGATGCACTGGGACGACGGAGCTTCCCGGAGCTGGATTGGCTGGTGGTTTAGGGTTTGGGTCAGGTCGGATGGGACTCCATCCACTGGGAAGGTGGAGGATTTTCAGATGCTGACAGATCCCGGTGAAAGACCTCGTTTTACTGGAGTTGATCATACAAAAACACTAGCTCAATGAGGCAAAAGGAGCAGGTTTTACTGGGTCAGACTGGACTTGTAGGGGATGACAGCTGGGTCGAGATGACATGGAACAGATGAAAAGAAACGACATGGATTGCGTGGGTGTTTCGAGAGCCCCCCCCCGAAACTGGAGATCAAGTGAAACAGGCATTCTCGCTTTCTCCGTTGACCCGGCGGCGATCCTTGAGAGCAGAAGTGGCTTCGAAAGACCTTTCAAGCTAGTAGGACCGAGTAGTAGGACCCAACTTTCAGGATCTCCGGTGCGGATCTACCAGGTTCTTCAGTTCGTGACCGAACCACCTGTCGTAGGACCGGTCACAGGTCTAGGGACTCCACAGCCAGGATCACGAACTATCACGAACTGAAGGAGCCGGTAGTTCAACTTCAGCTTCACCGCTCCTGCTGTCGCTGTCCGTCGCTGGCTTTCCCCCGTGTCACCAGGTGTCCTCGCCGGTGTCGCGCGCGCGCGGCCACGTCTTGGACCGATGGAGGTCCGTTCGCCCGGGCGCGACGCGGCCGGGGGGGCGTGGGGTTCCAAAGGCATTTCGACAAGAACCCCCACGCTGCTGAAGCACCGAAAGATGAAGATGGGACTTCCAATTCCGAGGTTTTCACCACCCTGGAACTGGATTTCATGGGATCCCCATAGCTGATCCCATAAAACCTGGGAATTTTGAGCATGGAACTCTCAGATTTCTCAATTGCTTTTAGGGTTCCATGTGGTCCGCAGCGGAGTATTCTTCATGCCCATGCAAAACGAAGCCCCCAGGGAGCCAAAAGACACCTTCTGGAGGGACGTTTTTCAATGGGGAACTCAGGAATTCACATGGAACCCTCAAAAAAGAAGCGGTCGAAGAAACGGTTCTTGCCTGTTCTTGCAGTCCGGACGCGTCACGCGTCGAAACACTGAGTCCGACCGAAATCGGCCGGCGCGGGCCTTTGGGCTCAACCCCATCCGTTTGACATGGACGGTGGATCGCAGAGGCGAGAAGGGGAGGGGTGGAGGGTGGGTGAGCGGAAGTCCTAAGACTCAGACTTTTGGAGGGTGGACAGGTGGTTTTGGACCAGTTTTGGACCAGTTTTGGGAGATCGGGCGAAGGCACCCGGGTGCCAGCAGCTAGAAAGATATTTGGGTAGCTTTGGAAAAGGGTCGTGAATCGACTTGGATGGAAGGAAGTCAAGTTCCAAGTTCCAACCATGAACTGTGAAAGACGTTGGTGGCAGTGTTTTAAGAAGCTCTTTCTTGAAGATGGTGTGTGTTCATGTGTGTTCCAACTACAACTGTACCGCATATGATCTCGGCTCTTCCTCCTGCCCTCATGAGGCAGCTGGACTATCCAGATGGCCTGAGCCATGAGTGACATGTACACCGGGGACGAGGGTTTGATGGACAGGTGGCACTTTTTCAAGACATCCGTCATGTAAAAGGATCAAAAAGGGCTTTGGCTGTTTGGTCAAATCTGTCCTGTTCCTCAAGGAAGCGTTTCCAACCGGCGATCTCCGATCTCCGGGTGTGCGGGGTGCACCAATTCCGATAAAAACGCACGGTTTGTTTGGACCCACACCTCTGTGGCGAACTCCTCTTTCAGTCCTGCGGCCGCCAGGCGACGTGGACGAGGCCCACGCCTCGAAAGGTGCGGGTCCGGCGCACGGGGCGGTGTCGAGACAGGAGCGGAAACCAGCCCGTTTGGTCTCTAAGTGAGAGCATGATCATGATGATCTGGGCATCCAAGTTCCGCACCGCGACATGGATTTCCTGGATCATACTTGTACGCTCATAAACATCCTGGATGTCTGCTGCCCCACCCTGTTCATTGGCGAGTTTACAGCACATCGTTCGAAGTGGAATCAAGCCTTCAATAATGGACTCTTGATCCAATTGTTGTCCCCACCCCATGGAATCAATTGAATCCATTCTAGGCAAGATGAGGGAAGGTGCGCGGACTCCATCGCTTGTCAGAGATGTTTTGGTTGAGGAACTTGTTTGAGCACTCTTTTCATGTTGTGGTTTGATGAATTACCACACACACTCATGGATATGCGTACTGACTTGATAGCGGTGCCACACGCCAGCCTAAGAGACCCAAATCCTGAAAAACCAGGTGAAGGGGACCAGAGTTCCTGTAGTTAAAGGCCACGAACCGACGAGGCGACAGGTTGACGGCGTTCCGCTCACGTCTGCAGCTCAAGGAAAAAAACATCCAAACGTCCAAACTTCGAGGTTCTTGGCTTAGCCTCGCGCCATGCAGAAAACTGGAAAATTTGCAGGTACGCAGTTGGACGTCTCCAACTGTATCACAGGTGACTGATGAGTGTCTTTGTTAGCACCGGTCTCATCAGCACCCCCGGTGCCCCCTGCTGTAAAACAAAACTAATGCAAAAGCATCCCTATGACTCCAAGGGTGACACACACACGCCTCCCCGAGGGGAGGCGAGAAGCTAAGGTGAGGGCCGATGTGCACGTGTGCGCGCCCAAGAGACAAGAAAATGAAGACATGACCAGAGGACGAGACGGGACAAAGGTGCGTGTGGTTGAAATGAAAGGGGAACCAAGTGCACAGGGACAACCGATGAAGCCCACCTCATTATAAAGACCTGGGCGACCTGAAACCTGTGTTTAAATGTGTGTAGAAGTGCACGTACACACTAAGGCCGGGACCAATGTGCGCGCAAACGAAGAAAAGGATGAGATGACCAGACATGAAGACAGGAGGACATGAAAGAAAAGAGGAAACAAGAGTGTGTGAAGGGAAGGGATGAAAGGGGGAACCAAATGGAGGGGACGAGAACCGATGAAGCCGAGCCTCATTAAAACGACCTAGGAAAACCTGCCTCGTTTGAGTGTATACGCTGTATGTGCACCCAAGGTCTCGACAGGTTCCAATGAACCTTAAACAAACTTCGGTCGCTGCGACCACGTACGGCTTGCCCGAAGGCTGCCACCTTTGACCGCTACGGTCACGTAAAGGCATGAGCCAGCTTGGAATTCCAGAAATGAGACATAAATCATCGGACGTACGGCATTAGCCAACTGCTGCCCGCTGTGGGCACCTACGTTTCCAGAGCAAAGGAAACAGGGACGTACACCCGTTCGACGGGTCCACGGGAGGCACTCTGCTCATCCCGGGTTGGCACGAAGCCAAACACACTCATGGATATGCGTACTGACTTGATAGCGGTGCCACACGCCAGCCTAAGAGACCCAAATCCTGAAAAACCAGGTGAAGGGGACCAGAGTTCCTGTAGTTAAAGGCCACGAACCGACGAGGCGACAGGTTGACGGCGTTCCGCTCACGTCTGCAGCTCAAGGAAAAAAACATCCAAACGTCCAAACTTCGAGGTTCTTGGCTTAGCCTCGCGCCATGCAGAAAACTGGAAAATTTGCAGGTACGCAGTTGGACGTCTCCAACTGTATCACAGGTGACTGATGAGTGTCTTTGTTAGCACCGGTCTCATCAGCACCCCCGGTGCCCCCTGCTGTAAAACAAAACTAAACTGATGCAAAAGCATCCCTATGACTCCAAGGGTGACACACACACACTTTGCTTGTGCTGTGCAGGTGAGCGGACATTGCAAAAAGGTTAGCCGGTTAGCCCTTTTCCGGTTTCTATTTTTTTTTGTGTGTGTTTATATGTTTTCATCCCTGTTCTTTACGTGGTATGCTGTGCCACAAACCGACGCCATTCTGGTGCCGGACATTTGTTGCTGATATCAGCTATTGCTGAGTGAACATGTCCAGTGAGAAACGCACATGTCCAGCACAAGCTCCTGGCAGGCATGATCTTCGTTTCGGCTGTGCCTGTTTGCATGGTTCAGATGCCAGCAGGCGTGGCAGGCGTGGACGTCTGGTGAGGGGTTGAAGCGACTAGCAGCTGCCAATCGAAGGTCTTGCAAAAGACCTGAAACTCAGGCTTGTTCACCCAAACCATGACCTGAAACTCACGCTTGCCACGGTTGTGTCGAGCACGGGTTATGCCACAGAGGTCAGACCTGTGGACACCTGGTTTCTGTATTGCGTTTGAGCTAGAGACCGCCACTGTTAGGAGCCTTCATAACATTGGACTTTTCCCCAAAGCTGGAGCTGTTTCCTCCTCCTTCGCCCCCTGGGACGCCGTGTGGCTCCGAGTCCGCCTCGGACAGAACAAGTCCAGGTGCGGAGCTGGACGCGCCCGAGCAGGTCGGAGCGCTGAGCCGGGTGGCCAAGTCATAGGATCCCAAGCTGTTGGCCGAGTCCGAGTCGGCCGATTCAAACGAAGGAATGATGAAGCTGCGTTAAACGTACAGTTACTAGAGTTCGACAGCGTACAACATGTTCGACAGTTGAGGAAGATGAGGCATCCCAAAAATGTCTCCCACAAAGTCAACCCACTTGCATGCTGAGGTTATCATCAGGCGAGAGCAGCTCTTGAGCTTGGGGATTGGCTGTGGGAAGAAGCCTTGATGATGTCATCGTGCATCAAAATCACGGGATACGATGACATTTGCGAGACTGTTGTCTCGCTACACACACACACACAGACCTTCGTTCCATCCCAGAATCCGATGTGAACGTCTTTTGCAGGTCAAGATGTCGTGCAAGTCACTGGGCCTACAAATCACTGGTGTGGGGCCCAAATCTGATGCCCAAATGGGTCACCCAACTCCAGCTCAATCCGGCTGGAGGTTCTTCCGTTCCCAAGCCCATGGGAAGAGCCGACACGTTCGAAAACGGACACGTTCGCCTGCGACGTGATGTGAACAGGGGTCTTTTCTGTGACGACGCTCTCTGGAAGTCACGGAAAATGGCTCAGCCATGACCCCCTAACAAGTAGTGGATCACCACTAACCCCCGTGGGGTAGTTCATGAGTCATTTGAAGTTCTGGGTGTGTGACCTGTTTCACGTTTTCCCGGGGGAGTGAAGAAGAAGAAGAAGAAGAGGAGGAAGAAGAAGAAGAAGAATGATGGAACATTGTTCTTTTCTCTACGAGGCCCCTACTGGATCTTTGAAGAGATCGCTGGAATCCTCTGGGAGGAGGCAAAGGCTTTATTGATTTCGGTGGTCTTTGATCAGGCATCAGGATGCAGGTGCTCTTGTTTGACTTGCCGCGTTTGATGTCCAACGGATGGTGAAACGGGCAGCGTCGCCCGAGATGAAGGTAAAGGATGGTAAAGGTTTTTAAAGGCACTGATGTGTTTTGAAAGCAAATAACTGGGCATCCGTATGAATTTCTTGCTGCCATTTTGCTTGATGTCAAGTGGTGTCAAGTGTGGATTGATCCATGTCTCTTCCGACAAGTCTTGCCACATGAAAGGCTGATCTACAAGCAACCTGTCTGGAATGAAGCAGATTCTCCAAAACGCTTCTGGCACCAGCTGGCGCTGACCAGTTCTCACACCCAACCTCTCCGGAGCTCTTGCCCCCCTCCCTGGTCGCTCCTCTTACGGCCGAACACCGCGCCCGTTCCGGCGCCAGGTCGGTGCCATCAGGATGTTGCTTTGGGGGGAGGAGGAACTGCTCCACTCCGAGCACTGGAGCTTCTTGGAGGCAGAAGATAAGTTCGCTTCGTTTCGATCCGGCCAACGTGGGTCCGAAGAAACGGTTTCGGCGAACGGAGGAAGGTTCTGTTGGAGGACAGTCGTTCAAGAAGAACGATTTTAGCACCCAACAATTCACAGCTTCCTTTCTTTCTTTCTTTCTTTCTGTTCTGTGAGCTTGTCCGAAAGGAGATTCTTTTTTAAATCTTGCGCATCTAACATGCCACGGCTGTGTGCTTAGATGTTTTGATATGTTTTGTGATGCTTGGTGTGCTTTGCAGAGGGGGGGTGGATTTCTCTCCGAAACGGACACTGTAGACACCTGCAAACTGTTGATTACAGTAAAGAACATCAATTGTGTATCTCTTGTGACCAGCTGTCTGTTACTCTCAGTATGCTGTGTTTTGGGACTGCTGGGACATGGTTTCCACTCCACCTACTTCACACCTGTTATGCTGGGACACTGTGTCTCTCATGCATCTTTCCAAGGCATGGACCAAAGAAAGTCGATGGCGATCGCGCTTCGCGATTGGGCCATCACCGCCTTGTGGAGCATCTGGACCGAATCCGATCTGCGGCCTGGTGAGTTGGGCGTTGGGGGCCAGGACTAGCGGTAGGGGCAGTAGGGGCAGTAGCAGCGGTAAGGGCAGTAGGGGCGGTAGGGGCTTGCAAGACCTGATGAGTTTCTTGCAGTTTGAGACAGTTCCTCTGGCTTCCTGCGGGTTTCACCTGGTTCGATTGCTTCTGGTTTCAGCTGTGCCGCAGGATCTGCGCCGTGGACGAGCGCTTGGCTTGCGGCGCCCGTGCGGTGCGCTTCACTGGTCTCCTGGAAAGGTGCGCCGCCTCCGCGCTGAAGAAACGGCCTGTCAGATGCCTGGTGTCTTCTTCTCCCATCGGTGTCCCGATCCGTTTTGGCCGTCGACCCGTTTTGGCCGTCGATGCCAGGTTCATTTTCTACGACCGCACCTTGGCACAAGTCCTGTGATGCAGAAAGCGAAGCGGCGAAGCGGATACGAATGCGATTGGAATCCATTAAGACACATCGAAGATTGGACTAGACTTTCAACATCTCACAAACCTGCACAATCTCATAGACTCATAGACCATCATAGACCCTTTGACATTTGAAGGTGAGGTTCTCTTTCTTTGTCCATGCAGGTCTGTAGTTTCCACCTGCACGAGTCTGAGATTCCCTTCATCGAAGATCCCATTCTTTGAGGATCTTGCACACCCATTCTTTGTGTTTTCCCCACCTTTCATCATGCCCCAAGTCTTGTCAAAAGTCCCCAGTCAAGAGATGGGTGTGTATTTTAATAGGGAGACCTCCAACCAATTCTTTCAAAGGTCTACTGTTTTTCCTTTCTTCGCCCTGGGGGACCCCAATTCGACCTGCAAACCCAGCTGTCTTCAAAAGGCTCTTCGCTCTTCGCTCGAAGCCAATCAGTTCGTTGTTGGTTCTTCGCCCGAGTCTCCATCCAGGTGATTCGAAGGCGTCCAACGCGCAGAGCAGCCGTTTGTTGGGCGGACTGACCAAAGCCCGGGATCCAAGGCCGTGGTGGTGGTTGTGCAAACGTGTCCGTGAAGAGGACGAAGAAGTGAAACACACAATGAACGCATACGACAGAGATCTTCTTTGATTTCAGAATTTTTCAGGCAACAGATCCCTGAATTTCTAGACGTGAATTTGGTGTGACGTGCCACGCATTTTGGGAACGTCTTGATCCTTTATGGACCAATGGACCGTCTTCCTTTATTTTACACCCCCGATTTGCTACAGCTGAACAACTCGGATCATCATCCGCATGCGCACTCCACCTGGATTCAGCATACGGAAAAGCAGCAACAGGCGCGGTGCATCAGCCGTGCCACACAGCTGGCTAAGGCCCTGAGGAAGCTGGTAGCCACTTGGATGACGAAGACCAGAGGTGCTTTGGTGACGAGTTCTTTTTTGGGCTGCATGCTGTGGCGACATCTTCGACATGCCCTCCACCTCAAAGGCTAGCAGTAGAGGTTTGCCCAGGGCTAAATCATAACATAATGTGATATTTACACACTCTTGCCGCCACCACGAACAGCAACGAAAATTTTTCTCGGTTCGCTGGTGATGTCTGTGTGTGAATCACACCGGGTCACATCAATGCATATTCAAGGGGGGTGTACCCCGTACCCCTCCCTTTGTAGAGTTCGACCCGGTAATTGTGTGTGTGGCCAAGGAACAAAAGCAGGTCTTTTGAGTTTCGATTGGGAAGGCCACTCGACCGAGATCCCCGATCGCTGATGTCGAGCTCCCAGGAAGGGCAGATCCCCTATGTGAATCCTCTTCTCCAGGGCTACTTTGATCGTTTTCTGCAGATGCAGGCAGGTGAAATGGCCCACACTCTTCAGCTTCCCGAGTTGGCTTGAGCATGCTTGAGCTTTTTGCATGCGACATGTGATTTTTCAAGTGCAGTTGAAGGGCTGTGCGGTATCCATACGGATCTCCCACTTGCACTGAGATTCTTCCAGCGCCAGGACAACGCGGCCTTCCGCAAGGCCAAGCTGATCCAACACGTGATGCGGCTGCGTTGGAGCACCTTGATCAGCAATTGCAGACAAAAGATCGACTGATTTGTTTTTTCAAGCTAGACTGAGGAGACACTACCTAACTCCACTTGCAACTCCAGCTAGCAGCTAGTTACTGTTAGTTATAAAGTTATACACATAATTAATTTGTACGCTATAGTCGCTAGTCACAATAAAAAAGCGGGAGGGGTGGATCGGGGGGAGGGCGCAGCGCCTGGAGGAGGAGCAGGCGGAAGAAGAGAGGAGAAGGAGGAGGAGGAGGAAGAGGAGGAGGCGAAGAAGAGGAGGAGGAGGAGGAGCAGGAGGAGGAGGAGGAGCAGGAGGAAGAGGCCAAGGAAAAGGAGGAGGACGAGGAGGAGGAGTTGGAGGAGGAGGAGAAGGAGGAGGAGGAGGAGGAAAGGAGGAAGAGAAGGAGGAGCAGGACGAGGAGAAGAAAAACAAGGAGGAGGAGAAGGAGGAGCAGCAGCAGGAGCAGGAGAAGGAGGAGGAAGAGGAGGAGGCAGCCGACGCCGAAAACACCCGTTACCGACGCAAAAAACACCAACCGTCCCAGAAAACACTGTTTGCCGACGCGACAAACCCCGGGGCCGTCGCAATAAACACCGGCCAACCGACGCAGAAAACACCGTTCCAGCACCGACGCAAAAAACACCGGTACATGTGCACCGTCGCAAAAAACACCGTTTACCGACGCAATAAACCCGGAGCCCCACACAAGTTATAGTCGCTAGCATCAGGCTTCGCTTCGCCACGCGTGACTCGTGTGGCCACGCAACGAGTCGTTTCGTCGCCTTCGTCGTGGGTTCCTCGGATCGATCGAGTGAGGTCATGAGAAGCAGCAGGTCCTTCACACCTTGTCGCTTGACGAGAGAACTAGGTGGGGCCGTTCGGTGGAAGCACCAGGTGCCGTGACCGACGGCATGACATGGCTGTGACCGGGCGAAGGGCTTCGGAGGGTGCGGCGGGATCTCGGGCATAGAGTCAGTAGCTGGGATTCACTAGTTGCACTAGGCAACAAGAGCGGGATGTATATTTTTTAAAGAGTATTTTCGTCCTCGCATGCCGGAGCCCTTTTGGCCTTTGGAGCTTGCTCGGTTTTTGATATCCCCTATGGGATTCTCCCTTCAGTCAGGGGTCTTTTTCTCTTTCTTCACGTTTTGCCGTCCACAGCTTGCCCAGGTCAGACTGGAGTACCCGAGTCCTTTTGATGAGGCGGCCCGGTGCCTTAGCTGGACTCATCGAGAGACGCGTACGCATGCGCCGAACGGATGCGGGGAACGGGTTCCTTGAAATCGTCCTTTTTGGATCGAGTGTTATGACCAGGGAGTTTTTCAATTTCTGGAAACACCAGTATGTGAACATGATAACTGAAAGAAACAGATCCCCTTTCTACCAGCTCAAGTCCAAGTCAACTTGTTCATCTCCCTGGAAACCTGGCAACACCCGCCCCACAACTCCCGGGTTCGTTCTTGCCGGAAGGGATGCCTTCCTCGGTGCCAGGAGGATCGACTTTCTTTCCAACGAGTTCGATCTCGTGAAGGAAGCCCTTCAGCACTCCATGCCGAAGGTCAGGGCGGGCAGAGAGTGGGCTCTATACAAACTTTTGTCCAAGCGCTTCATACCTTTTTGCTCTATACATACACATGAGTCACATGATATTCTATAGATCTATATATTTGTTCAGTGAGACATTGAAGATTCTGGCATTGTTCTCAGACACTTCGCCAAGAGTTCTGACACCTAGGCCGCCGTTGGACGCATTTGGAATCATCTCAAGCCGAATGTCTTTCGCTATTTGAGCAACCTCAAGGACGCTCTGAGCGAGGCGACTCGAAAGGCAATCCGTTTTTTGTCCATTTTCGGGCTTGCTGCTCGGACATGATCCGATTTGCACTGCTGTGTCCAGGAGCTCACAGCTAGGAAGCAAGACGCCAGCTGCCCCAGAGTGCTGTGAGGGTGAATGGCACTTTGCGGAGGAACATTGACCATGTGGGGGTTGTTCATTAAAAGGGAGACCCACTGGGTGTTGGTCTATATGTCCCGAACCGAACCCACGGGGTTTTACCACGCCACGGCGGTTCGGTCTCTCATGTCTTGAGCGGTTCGACGCCCGACGTTTTCCTCTGGACCATAAAACCACCACCTGCGTTCATGCGATCATCAGATGGGTTTCAGTGTATTGATGCCCGTGTTGCTAGGGTCTGTAGAGAATCCAGAAGCCATATTCCTTTGGCATGCGTTCCGTTTTTTGCTTTCAGTGTTCCAAGAGTTCATTTGGGCTAGTTACGAAACACATGAAGGAGGGAGCTTGCTTACACGCCGAAGAACGCACCACTATGGAAGTCACGCACCTCCCTATTTGCAAAGCCTTCCCAGTGTAGGCAATCATTCCGATTAGACCGCAGTGCACTTCTCTGTTTGACCGCCTCCGATCGTCGCAAGGCAACTGATGCATCAACCGCCTCTTCGAGCGCCGAAGACGCCACCCAGGCCGCTCGGGTTTCGCCGGACACGTGGGCTCCCGCAGCGAAAGAGAACGCTCCCGGCCACGTGGGTCCTGGCTTTCATTCTTTTTCGGTGGAAACGCCTGTGGTGCGCGGTGACTGGCAAATGAAACGAAAAGATCCATGGGCGGCGTTCGGGGCAAACGCATGTGTTGGATTTCTTGAAACCGGGTTCCACTGTCCGAAGTGTTTTCTGATGACTCAAGCTCAGATAAACATCAAGTTGGATGGTTCCATGCACCCTTTTTTGGACTTTCAGGCGTTTTTACGTTTCTGGAGTTGAACACCTTCCAACGATCCTGGAACCGATCCTTCCATTCGTTGGTGCTGTCCATCACGCGCGCGGACCTCATCCACCGAACCCGTTCAGGCCCCTGGAGGTTCGCCAGCCGCTTGGAGCTCGGACATCGAAGTGGAAGAACCAGTTTGAACAGTTTTTCATCGTTTTGCATTGTCCTTCGGAAGCTTGAAGTATCTGAAACCTGTAGCTTGCCTACAGCAATCACAATGAGAAGTTTTTCATAGTCCTTCCAGACATGGGTTCACATGGGACACATTCACACTTGCATGTAGCTTGCGGGTGCAAGTTTTATGTTCACTAAAGTTCACAAAATGTCCCACCGGGACATTTTGGCTCAAGTTGGTGGCAATCATCCACAGGATTGCACCTGAACTCTGGAGAAAACTCGCTAGTACATCGGTTCCTTTTGAACACGACGCAATGGCGCACCCGATGGAAGAGGAGTACTCCATCATCGATGCCCCACCTTTGGCTTTGCCAGGTGATGATTGGGATTCGGCTACGGTCAGTAGCCTGGGCATTGAGAGCCTGGACCAGGCAGCTGATGCTGCGTCTACAGCCCTCCGTCACGCCGAGGCGGAAGGAGCTCGTGGACTTGCTGTTTTTGGGGAACCTGTCCTGGTTTCTGAACTCGACGCTCAAGACTGATTCGCCAGTTGGAGCGCCACATGCAAGACCTCAAGGTCCAGATCGCCAACCAAGAAGATGCGGACATGGGCGTGGACCTCCTGGGGCTGAACGACCCTGCTGATGGCGGCGCTGGCGGCCTCCCTGCTGCACCTGGTGCCTTTGGCCCAGGCTGCAACTACTCCGGTGGTGGCGCCGACCTCGAGCTCTACTACACCTTCTGCAGCGGAGGCCCAGCCTGCGCTTTTGGCGACAATGGCGGAACCGCCAGTGGCTTGGCCTGTCTCGGTGGAGCCAAGACCAGCCGCACCACCTCAGGACATGGAGGAGGACGGCAGTGAGCGCGCGGGCTTAGGTTTTACGCCCCCTGCACAGGCAGGGTATTCGGTAGACCCTCTCGGCGCCATGGCCTTCTACACCTCCAGTGCGGGACCAAGCCCCTGAGCCTCCACGACCGATTCCGCAGCCAATGGAGGAACCTACATCCAAGGCACCTACATTGCCGGGCTTCACGAGGGCCTCGGGGTCGACATCCGCCTCGATCCCCATGCCTATCCGGTTCATACCTGTGCCGGAGCCTGCGAACCACGTCCGGTTCGCCATGTTCCCGGACGCCTTTCCGGCCATTCCGGGTCTCGTGCACGGAGAAGGCCTGCGGGTGGGCAACCCGGACGAGTCCCTTGAACTTGGGGGCCAACCAGCGGCGGTCTTCAGCCCCTTGGTTTGGGGCTACGACCCGAACGACCCGGATATCCACATGGTCCCTGAGGACTACTTGATGGCGCTGGTTGCGGCGGCCGCAGCTCGCCTCCCTCAACCGGTGGACCGGGAGGATTTGGAACAGATCAGGTCCACCCTTTGGGACCTGTTGATCAAGGTCACCCAGGGCCCCATGTCCTCGACCTACAGCCCCCTCCAGTACACCTACCACCGGCGAGACATGCAGACGTGGCACAATCGCAAGAGCCCTCCTCCGTTGCTCCAACCGGAGCTCCTCAAGTGGCGGCACTGGCGCCCAGGACAAGTGAACCTACTACCCAACGGGCTCTGGAACTCCATCTGCGCAGCCGATGGGCGGAACGCCTCACCGCTCACTTTGCGCCCTATGCTGAGCACCTCCCCAACCTGAGGCAGTCATGCGGGACTCCGACTTCCGCATGGAGTTGAAGCATCTCCTGGGAGATGCCAGGTTTCGATCGTGCGGGCCCTGCTGAACAGGCTGCAGGCGGATGAGATCTCGCCATACAAACTTCAGCAGATATGGCAGACTCTGAACTGGCTGTCCAAGATCTTTGGCCTACTGAAGGTGGACGAACATCAGCGCCTTGTCACCAAGAAGAAGGCCCTGGACGAGGAACTCGCGCCCACGGTGGTGCGTCCCCAAAAGAAAACTGCGGTCCCTTCGCGGGAAGTGATTTGGGCACTGGAGGAAGGAGCGGCGCTCGGGGGACCCCCTGGTGCCCCTGGCCGAGCGGCCCCGGCGCCTGCGGCCCCTGGCCGGGAGCGCCATGAGCAGCTGGACGCCTTCATCTTGGGCTTTGCCCGTTTCCAGGTGGGTTGCAGTGCTCGCTTCGATGACCTACAGCATGTCCGACCTGAGGAACTCCGGACTACCTCCAACACCATTGAGCTTCAGGCATGGCAGACTAAGGTGGCCCGAGCAGCCCGCATCCGCACGAAGCCAGTACCGCTGATCTGCCCGAAGTACAGCTTCTCTGGAGCACCCTGGTACTTACAGTTTGTCTCCACGGTGCGGAAGCTCTCGGTGCTGAAGGCCTTCGAGGGCATGGACTACCTCCTCCCCACGATCAGCAAGGACTTTGCGGGGTTGATCCCGCGCCCGTCGGGAGGTGATCGGGCCCTGCGGTGCCCTCCGACGTCGGTGGCGCAGGAACATGTCACGCCCCTCACTTGGCACTCCTTCTGGGTCTTCATTCCGGACTGTGCCTTGCAGCTTGGGTTCCCCGCTCAGAACGGCAGTACCTGGTGAACTGGATGACTGAGTCCACAGCTGACGTCTACACCAGGGAGAAGAGAAATGTCGTCACTGCCATCTGGACTAAGGTGGCCGACAAGGGCAGGGAGCGGAGGGAGGACCTCAACCATGGGGACTGGGACGACCCAGCTCCCCACCACAGTCCTCACGTCGCTCCATGGCTGCACCCCTCCACAACTGGACAAGGTCACCCCTGGCGCCACTGATTCTTGGGATGTTGTGGACGGTGAAGACAATGGCTTGGGTCACTTCCTTGTCCAGGCCAGCGACCTGCCACAGGACGGCGATCAAGCTGACCAGGATGATTCCTACCAGGTGATCAGCTCCAACACGGCACGGGGCCCTGAGAAGCAATTTCGTGTCCACCTCCTCACTTTGGAGGGCTTCTGTCTGGGCTGTGGTTGGCGCCCCAGAAGCACCCAGATGACCGTGCTGACACCACAAAAGTACTGGGCCAACCCCATGGGCTATGGCAAGTGCACGCGGTGCTTTGCCAAGGGTGACCTCCCCTAGTCGTTGTTCGTGAACCGCCATGCCTCAGTGGAAGGGAAGGACATTCCCGATCTTGAGGTGGACACGGCGAGTTCGGCCACATCGGGCTCGGATACGGATGACTCTGTGGACGTCAGTCAGAAGCTGATGCCACTGCCTAAGGTACTCCCAGTGGAATCCTGCTAAGGCTTTCACCTACAGGAAGCCCTCCTCCCTGGCCCACGGCCAGGTGCCCCTTGGCCCTGGAATGGCGTCGGGGGGGGGACACGACATACACACCTCGGCCTGCCTGCATCCTTCGCAAATGGCGGGTGTGCCAGGCAGACCTTCGGACTGGGCGAATCCTACTGCCTGACACACCCTTGCCCCCCTGGCGAAGCCCAGGGCATTTTGAAACTGACCACAAGGTACAGGGTCTGGGGGAGGACCCCAGCATCAATCAAAGCGCATTCGGAAAAAGACTGCGTGCAGCAATTTGCGCTCTTGGGATATTTCTTCTGGGTACATATTCACTTGCGGGTGCAAGTTTTATGTTCACTGAAGTTCACAAAACGTCCCACCAGGACATTTTGGCTCAAGTTGGTGGCAATCATCCACAGGATTGCGCCTGAACTCTGGAGAAAAACCACCCAACCCGCCCTGGATGGCAGCAGCGCCTGGTGGTGCTGGTGGTGGGTGGGGGCAGGCGGTGCCCCCCCGGCTGTGAAACCCCCAACGGAGGCACCGGATGCCCTCCGACCATTTCTTGACCTCCTGACGAAACCGCTTGCTTATGTGACCGTGGAGGACTTAGGGGACCGATGGAACACCCCGGAGGACGCACGGGCCCAAGGGCCCAGAGATTTGGAGTTCCAAGACGGTGAGAACAACTTCAACCAGGCATCCTCCCGGTTCACCGCCATGCGTTTGCTTCAGGCGGTTCGGGCGGCCAAGTCGATGGCCCAGACACAGCTTCACGTGGGTCGCACTGCGGCCACAGAACCCCCAGGCACGGCAAAGGGCCCTCTGGATAGCCGCGGGTCTTGGAGACGGCGCCCATGCTGAGGCATACAGCTGCCTCAAACCACGACTAGAATGCCAGGGCAGTGATGCCTACCTGAAACGCCAGTTCAAGCACATTGCGGCTGGGGAGCTTGGCTACATTCAGGCTAAGCACATTGTCGGGGCCCTTCCGGACAATGGGGAACGCCCCGTCAAAACCACACGCAAGGTGTCGGTGGATGGCTGGGACCGGGCAGATGAGGAAGAGACCCGGCCGGACCCTCGGACCCGGCGACAGTTGGAGAGAATGCGCACGGTGTTCAGGACCACGTTGTTGATGTGCATTGCGGGTCAGCCGCAATTTGCCCACCTGAGATTGACCAAGAACTCCTTGGATGAATGGTATGAGTGGTTTTACGGGGAAGACATCGCGGGTCGGCGACCCCCCCCGTCGGCGAGTGTACGCCAGTTTGTGGAGCGCAATGCCTGGCGCAAGATTCATGACCTGGTCCACTCACTGAGGCCCTATCCAAGCTCCGCCACGACCACCTCTTCTGGCAGAGGGAGGTCTACGAATAACAATACCCCACAAGGGCAAGCCCTGGACCCAGGTCTGGCAAACCCAGTGGGACAAGACCGAGGCCGGAAAGGGGGCAAGGCCCCAAAGGCCAAAGGCAAGGGCCAGTGGCCAGACGCATGGGCCTTCAAGGAGTTGAAGGGGAAAGCCTTTTGCCGGGACAGGCCCCAACTGTCCGGTCCGCCAAGGGGGGTGGGTGTGCAACGTGTGCCCGGACAAGCACAGGTTGGTCCAGTGGTCCAGGTGCCCGTGGCCCTGCTGGAATACAATACCGGGGCTGACGAATTGATTCATCCGGACTTTGAAGGGTTCTCCTTAGATTGCCGGCTACCGGCCCCGGAGACCCTATTTGTTTTTCCCTTTGCCACAAGACTGTTGTCTTCGACTGGATTTTCTTAGGTTCCCACCCAAGATCCCGTGACCGGATCCGGTGGGCTGTCCTCCCGACCCTGTCCCCTCTGGCACCTTGACAGGTGCCCATTGGCCCTGGGGACCAGGGGGCACTCGGGTGTTTGGCAGTGGTGGGCGAATCCTACTGCCTGACACACCCTTGTCCCCCTGGCGAAGCCCAGGGCATTTTGAAATTGACCAAAAGGTACAGGGTCTGGGGGAGGACCCCAGCATCAATCAAAGCGCATTCGGAAAAAGCCTGCATGCAGCTTTTTGCGCTCTTGGGATCTTTTTGACTTCTGGGTACATAAAAGGGCCAACCATGGGTCCACGCCTGGTAGTTCTGACCCCAGGCACCTCCAGCCCGACGCTGGGCGGACTTCACGGACAGCGAAGGTGGCCTGGCGTCATTAGGTTCGGATTCGCGAGTCGATTTGTGTGGGAGTCGCTCCATAAAGCGCGACTAAGATGATCTGTGGTAAAGCTTCCTGGTGGGCGCGGAAGCATCTTGGCCACAAACGGCATACCCTGCTGGGTCAGACGGAAGGACTCTGATGCAAACCAAGGATTGGCAGAGGTCCCGGCCCCAACATGGGCTTGGAACAGTAACAGGCCCATGTGGTGGAAAAGCGGGGCGCTGCTGCTGCTGCTATCTAGCACCAGTAGCAGAAAGTGGGTGTGTGATGAACGAGGGAGACCGGGAGACCCACCCTAAAAGTACCTTACTTTAGTGACAATCAGTTGAAACCTTTCGAATGGAGGGTCTCCCTGTTCAAACACACACCCAGACCAGCGCTACTCGTTGCGCTGACCCTACTTGCTTGTATCCGTGCCATGCCCGCAGCCACTGGTGCTCATGGCCGCTGGCGGTGCCCGCGCCCTGTAGACTCAGACTCACGCATGATCGTCCGCTAACTGAAACATCTCTGCCTCACAAGGTTTCAACAAGACAACAATATAGTTGAATAGTTTTCATGGACACAATCACCCTCAAGGGGAAGCATTCCAGCCACATGATGTTCAAGCAGCGTGCGTTGTGCCTGCCCGCTTGCCTTTGCTGCCAGTGTCAAGGCGCGGTTGAGGCACGGTACTTGGTTAGAGAGTGACCAAGTGACTCCTTTGTTCGGCTGCTCTGTGTCAGGCCTGCCCCAGCCACTCCAAGCTTTAATGCCAGATAGAATAGAGTGCCAGAAGATTTGCCAGATGTCTGAAGATATGCCAGGCAGAACGCCAGAAATACCAGAAAGACTGTCAGAAAGGATGTCAGTAGATATGGTAAGTGGAGTGCCAGAAAGGATGTCAGAAGATGTGCCAGTTAGAAAAAAGGAGGGTAGTATATGTATTTTGTTTTTTTGCTTGAGCTAGGTATATTATTTTTTGTTTTGATAGCTCTTGCCTTTAGCGGGCTTGTGGCTTTTGGTGGCTTTTTGCTTTTGCTGGCTTTTGGTGGTTTCTGTTTGGTTTGTGTTTGCTTTTGGCTTTTGTTGGCTTGTGGTGGTTTCTGTTGACTTTTGGTGGCTTCGGTTGGCTTTTGGTGGCTTGTGTTGGCCTTTGGCTTCTGTTGGCTTTTGCTTTTCGTGGCTTTGGTTGGCTAGGGCTTTTTCACTGCTGCACGGAACATGATATACCCAAGATATATCAAGAGATGGTAGTTATTCTCTTCTATTGTACCCTGGTCGCTACACCTACTGACTAAAGAATCCAAGAGTTGGCAACGATCGTGCTTGCATTGGTTGTGGCTTTGGCCAACCCCGGCTGGCCATTTCAACCTTTGTTCTGCTGTGATGGGTGGATGTTCCCCACTAACTAGTCCATCGTCAGAGGAATGTGAAGTCCCAGGCACAGCTGCCAGATGTAAGCAGGTATTGGTTTTACCTAAGTGATTGCAACCTTGTTCCTTTTGCTTTTCCCTTTCCTTTTCCATTTCCTTGCCCTTTGCTTGTCCTTTTTCTTTTTCTTTTTCCCTTTTAAGACAGCAGCCAAGAGCAAGAGACAAGTAATACCAGATAAAAACAATCCCATAGAATCCGAACCCATGAAAAAAGCTATGCCAGATAGAATGCCGCAACAAGAATGCCACAATATATTCTAGATAGAAATCCACAAGATTTGCTAGATAGAATGCCACAAGATTTGCCATTTAGAATGCCAGAAGATTTGCCAGATAGAATGCAAGCAAGTTAAGCAAGTCAAAAGATATGCCAGATAGAATGCCAGACAGGTCAGAAGATATGGCAAGCAGAGTGGCAGGAGGGATGTCAGAAGATGTGCCAGTTAGAAAACGGTATTCCAGATAGAATATGCCAGAGTATTTGCCAGAAGGAAAAAGATATGCCAGCAAGGTTGGCAGAAGGTATGGCAAGTAGAATGCCTGAAGAAAAGTCAGAAAATGACATTCTTCACGGCGTATCTTGGGAGCAGATTGTGCAGCCAGAGGATCTGGACCAGCGATGGAGCGGCAACACTGCGCGGCCGTGCGTGCTCAGACTAGTTGAGCCAAGGTGGCAAATTTCGCCGTCCCCCCCTGCTTCTTGGACTTCGCTGCCTGAGAGATGAACAGGAAGCTTCGGGCACTGTCAGATATGGCGTCAGTTTGACGATGCAAGATGCACCAAAGTGTGAAGACATGTCCCTTGCGAATAAACATAGCTCATTGAAGTCTGTTGCGAGTCAACCTTAAATTTGCAGGAAACTGAAGGAGAGCCAATCGCGACAAGGAGACCATTGAAGGGTATCAAGAGCGATGCATCGAAGGCCTTGTCGCAACATCCCGAAGCTGGAATTACCCATGAGGCTGTGTCCTGACGTTATCTGTGAACCAGACACCGAGATGCTTGCAGACAGGTGTGTCGAGCCGGAACCCATGAAACGTTTCCCCCGTGGTCAAGCTCTCATCACCGTGCCAAGCTATCGGCGCATTGACACACTGAAGGTGGTGTCCTCCGTTTGGTTGGACGGCTGCTTTTGGCGACGTGTAGTGAAGCCTCAACAGTGTCGTCCACCACGCAAAGAAGGGTGAGGGTCAACGTATTTGCTTTGTCGACCTGCCTTGCAATGACCTCATCAGAGTCATCGTCATCGAGTGGTGTGTCCGAAAAGGACTGTGCGCAGTTGGTTCCCTGATGTTTCGCTTTGAGGGGGTTTAGTGCTCTGTCCCAGCTCTCCAGGAACATGGGCTCAACCCTACCCCTACCAGCTGCAATTTCTGAGCGCTTTCCCGGTCAAACGCAGGCCTGATAGAGCGTTGACGTGTGCGTCAGATTGCGCCAAAGCTGCAACATCATTGTTCCGAACCTTGGTCCCATATGCAATGAAATTAGTTTTGCACTTCTGGGCTCACGCAAGCAGCGTATACCTTGCAAGAGACCGGCGGCAGCAAACAAGGCAACCGCGCTGACGCGCCTCTTTTGGGCTTGCAAATTCTTTGCGACGTTGCCAGCAGGAAGAGCATCTTGTCCACTTGCCCCTCGGCCGCTCGGTATAATCAGTCAGGATGGGCTGACGCGAAGACTCTTGAACGCTGTCGCAGCTTGGGCGGAGTCTAAGGGCACTGTCAGAAACCAATTTCTGAATAGCAATTCCGATGTCCACCAGTTGCTTGGCATTTCAAGTCTCAAATGATTTCATGATGGGGGGGCATATTCATCTCTGTTTGTGCCCCCAAGTTTGCATGCAATCAGGGTCGCTGCGTCAGTGAAGGAAGACAACAAACCGCTACGAAACAAGATCCCAGTGAGTCCATGCAGTCAAACCCGATCACTAGTCTCAGTGTCCATGTTCTATATATACGCAGCAGGGTTTCCATGCGCGCCCCACTCATCACTGGGAAGCCTTGGCTGCCTCCGCAGCCCAAATGCCAAGCTGCTTTTTGCGCGCGCGAAGAGGATAAAGCGGCTGAGGTGCAGGATGTACGTCATAGTCAAGCCGCTTCTTCTGCAAAACGCGACGTGTTGGTTGTCGTTTTTGATTTGTTTCCATGGGACCCTACGACAAGGTATGGAGTGCCAAGCTACCAGGTTCAGGGCTCGGTAATGATTGAGACTGAACAGGCGAGATTTTTGAGATTACATCAAGAGCAGACATGATGAACATCACAGAAAAAGGAAGGTGGTCTCTCATTTGATCATCTTCAGTGTTCCTGAACCATGATCTTGCTGCTAGCCTGCTAGTGCGTGCGCCATCCAAGGATTGACGTGTTGCTCCCAGGATCATCCAGAAAACGCGACTCAAATCTGGATCCACGCACCAAAACTAAACCCGATTTGCAGTTCAACCTCAGAGAGCCTCAACCCCCTTTTCTTTGCCAAGGAAGCCCAACTCCAAAGCCAAATGGGTGATTGGGCAACACCAACCAGGTTGGGTTTTAAGCCCGTCGCCGTTAAAATGCAATCTATACTACGACACGGGCGACGCTTGGGTTGCGTAATGTTTCGAGAAGTTTGCCAAGAAGTACTTGAGGGCTACCAAGCAAATCGCAACTCGCTGAGAGGTGGAGGCTGGTCATGCAACCTTTTGGCAGCAAGCCACCAGAGATTCAGCGTTATCAACGCCCCCCAGAGGTTGACGCGTGTGCCGATTCTCGAGAAAGACAGTGATGACTTGATGTGCGTCCCGAACCATTGCCTCGTTGATTTTGGAAGGGCTGGCCAACCAGATGTGGTAGGCGTATTGAAGTCAATCCTCCAACTAAGGCCAAGGATGAGAGGGCTGATGCTTCTTCTGAGTCATCTAATTCGCCGGTTGAATTTGACCTCTTGCTCTGAGTCAGCGTCTTGCCTGTGCATGAAGAGCAACTAAACCTAACCGTTGCGGATGTTTACAAACAGGTTTTCCTTCATTCTGAAATTGGATGCCATGTCAAACATGCTTGAGGTCCATCACAGTTTGGGAGGCAACGCAGTGTCCATGAGAGCTGTTCTCCCGTGCGTGTGTGCTGTAAGTAGTGCTCGCGCGCTTGAATTTGCTGGTCGGATTTGAAGTCTTAGCCGCTTTCAGGCATCGACTTGAACTTAAACTCAAAAAAGGCTTCGGCCTGAGCTGAAATGCAACAACCTTACTATAACATGGGGCTGTGTCACTTCATTGCACATGGCTACAGCGCACCAAGGGTGTGCACCATGGGTTGATCAGTTTTTCTTCGTGTTGTGCGCTTAGCTTTTCAAGCGGGTTGCGGTTGAACCTGCCCGCCCTCACTATGTCACTATGTCTTTGGTATGGTGGTGAGCCCGGCCTCCAGCTTCAGGTGATTCTTCAGCTGATGAGTCTGAGTATCCCAGCTGCATCTATAGCTACACGGAGCACAAAAAGGTTTTCCCAGAAGCCTGATCTTAGGCAGTCAACATCTCGATTATCTCTGATTCACATGGAAGTGCGAGCGTTCCAGCTTTGTCGACTTG